AATCCCCACGAGGGGCATGCTGGGAGTCCCTACTTCGCGGATTTTCACCTATCGCAGCCAGGTCTGGAACGCATCTACCGCGATAAACGAGGGATTACTGTAAAGGCTATTTATGTGTCATGTGTTTAACTTAACCTTACTTTGTTCTTGTGTGAGTGCAAATGGTGATGACCTCGTCATATAAACATGCTGAAACATATTTCAATCACTGTAATCATAACATAACAGTCATTTCAAACTTCAATCATTGAGCACAGATTAATGAAACATGTCATTATATTATAATTATTATAAGTAGCAATAAACAAATGTTTATTTAATGATTATCTAGCTTATAAGTTTTAGAAGTTCATATTTAATTTAGGAAATCATTCTTTGATTTGGCAGCTGATCCGAGCTGCGAGTGTTAGGCATGAAGAATCCTGTAGGGCGATAAGGATGGACCTTGAGGAGAGAACCTTCTTGTTGACAGTTCGTTATCATGTGTTCAGAGCTGCAGAGGCTCTGAGCTCCAGCTGATGGGATGAAGGCAGGCCAATTTAAAGGGAACACATGCAGTCTCGTGTCTCCTTTTTGACCCGATGTTGACCAGATGTTGAACGGTCAAACTACCAAAAAACTGACCATTTCTGGACGTTACACCATTATGTGGTGGAATAGAGTTGTCTTTCAAACTGTCTCTGCACAGAGTTGGATACCAAACCAATCAGAGCAATGAATAACAAGACACATTCATCACGATGGAAATCAGTCAATGAGGCAGTACACCTTCGACAGTACCTCTATCTGCTCACATCTCAAAGAAAAGCTCAAGGACAAATCGTCCAAAGTAATTATCCAAACCTGTTTTGAACGGCGACCATTTTAAGCTGACACCATCTTTGTAGTTTTTTTTCCATCTCGGCTCTGGTGCTAGGCCCGCCCACATCACTCTACCAATTGTTTGTGCCAATGGTAGACCTGCTGAAGCAACGATGCAGCATGCGTCCAGTGGTAAGCAATTCCTGTCCTAGAGAGTCACGATCCAGCGTGTTTTTGAGGTTTCTATACATCAACATGGGCTTCTGCAGAACTTCAAGAGCTGCTGAACAGGTTGATGAACTATGCTGAAGCAGGGAAACAACTGAAACATGCTGGATAATGGCTCTCTAGGACCACGGTCGCCTACATCTGGCGTAGAGCAACCTGCAGAGCAAAATCTTTTGCTGCAGCTACAGTTTGTCTAGATTTCTGGGCTAGGCCAATACTTGGAGGCTCGGGAGGTAGATCTCATGATCAGAGGGTTGTGGGTTCGACTCCAGCTCCAACCAGTAGTATTTTGCTGTTGTGTCCTTGGGCAAGACACTTCACCTGACTTGTGTGTGCTGGTGGTGGTCAAAGGGGCCGATGGCGTGAAATGTCAGCCTTGCCTCTGTCAGACTTCCCGAGGGCAGCGGTGGCTATATAGTAGCTTGCCATCACCGGCAGTGTGGGAATGTGAGAGTGCGTGAATAATGGAAAGTTGTAATTCTGGGAATAATGCAAGGAAATTTTATTTCTATAGTTGAGAACTTTTATGACAAAACTTAAGGAAACACATGTTGCAAAGAAGAAAACACGTTTTTATTTACTTGTTTTGTAGTCATGTATGTAACAGATGTTCCGATTTCCCAAACCAGCCTACACTTGGACTTCAGGGGCTTTAGATTCATCGGCAGAAATTAAAATGTTGGAAAGCTCCAGGAGCGGTATAATGGGACCATCCTGGACAAGATTAGCTCCATACATGTGTAGATGGTCCTGAATCATTCTTTGGACAGCAGCCAGGCATGTTGTTCTTAGTGAAACTCAAGCCATCTTCACGCTGCCTCTGTTGGTTGAAGCTGCTGGATTCGAGCCACAATAAGCTCAACGACTGTTGTTCAGTCAGTGTGTTTTAAATGGCTCCATAAACGGCTCAGAGGGTTCCAGCACATCTGAATGTATAGCTTCTATAGCTTCCTATTGAGTTGTGTCACTCTTAACCCTTTAAAGTCTAAAACAAGAAATGATGGGAACTGTGTTTATAAATGTAAATACTTTGATAAAACAATATTTATACGATCATTGTGACTGATTAAGAATACTGCATTATTTCATATGATGTTATTACCATTTGTCTCTTGAAGAGCTGCATAGTGGTGCCACTGGTAGTGCTGTGGCCTCACAGCCAGAGGGTTACAGGTTCACATTTGGGTTACGACATTTCTGCCCTTATCTCATCTGATGACCGGTGGACACAGACAGCAACAACTCTCCCTGGACCCTGGTGAGAAATACGCTGGGAAGATAAAGAGTACGTGAGTGACTTACCACCTGCTGTACTTTAACTGTACACGGCATCACTTTTCACATTGGTGCTGATTATTGTCAGATCTACTTGGCAATAAAAGACGCGGACGTCCAAGTTGTAATGTTCTCTCCGATGTAAAGGAATGGTTAGCTTCAGGGGCGGATTTAGGATTGAAGAAGATCCGGGGCTTAACACACACGCACACACACACGTGACACGCTAGTCAACATCATATATATTTGTCTTGTACCACATAATGTTTAATCTGAAGCTACATATTAAGCATATTCAGGGCAGAGTATTGTTCCTGTTAGTGTTTAGTGTGAGATGATAGTAAATATTCCCTTTCTTTCTCCAACAACTTTACCTGATAGTAAGCTAACTTTAGGCAAACCAGCAGCACAACAAATATTTTCAAATAAGACTCACAAACCTGAGTCAACACCAGTCTCATCAAAGCTGGGGTTCTGTCGCCGTACTTTTGGTCTAAAAAACGTCCTTATGTCCATCTTCACTCGTGCGTTTCAGGCAGAGAGTGTAGAAGAAGCCGGCTGCTGAAGGGCTTCTTCTTCAGTGGTGGAGGCTCAGGCAGGCTGTATACAAACTACTGCCAGCTGCGCCCTCTCTGTTGGACTTTGGTACTGCATGTTACTTCCACGATTTAGATCCGGGGCTTTCCATGAAACATCCGGGTCTTCAGCCCAAGTAGCCGGGCCTAACGCCGCCCCTGGTTAGCTGCAAACTTCCTAAGTACGAATGAGTCAAAGATTGAGTCGATTCTTTTTGAGCCTAGAAACCTTCACCCACATCGCCTGTTCCAAGTTTTCCATGTACTGACCTCAATGTGTCACTAAATGCAGTTATTACACCATGGGTTCTTTAAATTATTTTTTCAACTGTGCCGTTTGACACGCCTGAACCCAGTACTGAAACGTTCACACATGGAGTTTGTGAAAAATGATTTTATTACCTCTCATTTGGACCAGGCAAGTTCACTGTTCATTGGCGCTCCTGCTTCAGCTATGAACCGGCTGCAGATTGCGCAGAACGCTGCCGCTAGATTTTTGGCAAACTCCAACAGACAGTCCCATCACCCCGGTTTTGGCACATTCACAATGGCTGCCCGTGATCTTCAGGGCTTTCTGGTTGCAGTCCCCTTGGGGTTCCTGTGTTCTGGGGCAGCGCCTGGATCTCTGGGACTTGGAGCTCCCCCCGTCTCCTGCGCATCTTTGGGGGCAGATCTGTGGTCCCTCACACTCTCTGTTGGACGCTCCTATAGAGAAACCTTACATAAACAAGCACGTGTACACACACAGGTGCTCACATGGTGCTCTCAAAAGTATGGGCTTGGGCACGTTCAACACTTGTATCAAGGCTGTCGTTGCCACTAAATGAACTGTGATTTATTATCGTGTGATTGTTCAGTTAAACAATGTTGATTTTATATTTCATCATCACGTTGACGCAGTGATAGTTTGCTCCTGATGTATTGTTGTGTGTCCCTTTATTTTCTGCTCTTCTCTTTCTGCAGGTCTAGAAGCAGACTCTTGTCCATTATTGTTTATTTTTGTGGAACCCCACCTTTTGTCTTTTCCTTTCTTTTTCACCTCTGACTCCGTGTCTGGTCGGAATTACAAAGCATTTAAAAACAATAACAATAAAGTTTTAAGTATCAGGCGTGACATTAAAAGCAGACGCTTTGATGCTCCACCTGAGAGTAAATCTGTAAGGCTTGTCACCAGCATTCAGACATCAATTCTGTTTGCTTCACAGCCAGACAGGACACGGTTAAAAAAATAAAGAAATAAAAAATAAAAAAATAAATGCATGAACTAGTTTTTCAGCATCACTCGTGGAAAGGATGCTTCTAATCTTAGCAATATTCGAAGGTGGAAAAAGGAAATCCTACAAACCTGTTTAACCTGGGATTTGAATTACATGTCCTGGTCAAAGATAACACCAAGGTTCCTTACTTTGTTCTCGGAGATTAATGTAATGCCATTCAGGTCAGGTGATTGGCTAAGCAGTTTCCTTTTCTGGATTTCTGGTCCAAAGATGAGAACTTCCGTCTTGTCTTGATTTAAAAGCAAAAAGTTTAGAGTCATCCAAATTTTTATGTCCTCAAGACAAGCCTGTAATCTACCTAACCGATGACTGAATGTACTAATCCTATTCAAGAGCTTTTACAATTTTAGAAATGTAAAATACATTTGGCATTATAACAATAAAGGGCATTTTTTTTGGGTCAATTTGGCTTATTTTTCTATGTAAATGTTATAGAAATATTGTAAATAGTTCACTGAACAGCTTCAAATTACAGATTGAGCTTACATTCAACAAAACCGAAGTTGCTAAGCAAGTGCAGCGCATTCCTTCAGGATGTTGTATTATAAGCATAGGATGGCAAAATGATGGAGAAAGTTTGTGAAATTTGGGAGATATGTTCATGTAAGATGGCAGCGATATGTTGGTTTTGGCTGTGTTTAGAACAGCTGTTAGCTAAAATAAATGGCAACAGAGCATTATTCCAAATAAAAATGTAGGTTCATTTGGTTAAAAGGAAATTATTTAATAATACACACAATAGGAGAGAAAGAGAGAAGAAACATTGTTCTTGTTAAACTTTGGAAAAGCTATTGCAGGGTGACGATGTGACCACTGGGAATTTCCAAAGTTTGGTCACACCTCGCAGAAAAAAAACCTGATCTCAAAATTCCTACTTTTTACTAAGTCACCTTCGCTCAGGGGTTGAAACGGAGGCAAATCACCATTACAACAGCCCACACTATTCACAGCCTAACTCTGGTAACACAACTAAATGCACACATTTAGTTTAAAACCAAAACCAGACGACACATTCATGCTTAAACAACGCTAAAATATATTAACATGCACACACTGACTGCCATAACTTGTGCTATCAGTGATATTATCAGTCCTAACAGGCATACATCCTATTTGTCTTAAACTGAAAGGAATCTGCACATCCTGCCATATGTTCCTTTAGCATTTTTATCTTTCTGTCACTCACAAACAGCCAGAAACCAAACACCCTTTGGCCCTTTCCTCGCTAAATCTCTTTTTTTTATTAACTTCATGGATGAAAGAAAAGGAGTGTCTGAGTCCAACACAAAAGCTACACTCTGAACTCCTCTAACAACTTAATTTCTTGTTTTAAATCAGAAAAATTACAAAGATATTCTATGAATTATACCAGATTTTTTAATCTACTATGTTTCTTGACAGGAAAAGATCTATATTCTGCCTTCTTTCTCTTTTTCCAAGTTCCATAAGTCCTTGCAAATGAACTTTAACATATATGTAAACAATTACGAAAGCAAAGCTACTTTTCAAATGTTCCACCGTGTGTAAATCACCTGCAACACTGACATTCCATGTTTTTGTAACATAAAGCCCCTTTGCATCACTAAAAAAGCCGTAACCAGTCAGGATCAAAGCAGGTCTCCTGTGGCGTTTGGCACCGGAACATTCTCAGTTCGTGCTTTGGGTCTTTTGGGCTTCAGCATGGGGCCTCCATAGATCAGACTTGCTCCTGCTTTGCAGATGTGCAATAGGCTCGAGATCTGCAAGGCATGTTTGAAACATGTTACTGGCGTGCTGTCGTGCTGACAGAGTGTTTAAAACTCAGGTCATGCTTTGGGTGTTTTTTATGCACAAATATAATTGTCATAAATACGTTGTTTTTATGAGTGATCGTACGGGAATTGTTTATGTAGCATCTTTGTGTTCCTACAGTAGCCTAGAAATCAAATCAAATCACTTTTATTGTCACGTCACATGTGCAGGTACACTGGTACAGTACATGTGAGTGAAATTCTTGTGTGCGAGCTTCACAGCAACAGTTGTGCAAAATACAATAATGTAAAAACAAGCAAAATATAAAAATGGCTAATCTAAGTAATAACATATATAGTATTTAAGGTATATACATTCCTAAATGTGTGTGCTAAGTATTTTATTTTTTTATTTTTCTACGTGTGTGCGTGTGAGTGTGTGTATAATGCGTACATACATATTTAAGAAATGAATAAAGTAAACAATAAGATAAGAGATATAAAATGTACAGAGGTTGGTATGAACAGAATGAACAAATTATATGCAAAGATTTTCAAACTTCAGTGGATTGTTTATACCTACACAAGATCTTACGGGCTGCATGGTGGAATTGTGGCCTCAAAGTGAGAAGGTCGTAGGTTCGAATCCCAGCTGCTGCCTTTCTGCGCATAGTTAGCATGCTCTCTCCTGAAAAATGATCCACAAAATAAAATGAATGAAAATTGTAGTTTTGAAAAGACTGAAATATGGAAAAAAGTTGTCATAATATGAAAAATAACCGATTTTTATTTTTGCCCAATGTTTATTTCATTCAATGGAATTTTGATTACAAATTTGGTAAATAATTGTCCCAAACTCTAAACGATAAAGCTGGAAATGTTATGGAAAATGTGAGAATTTGGGAAAAGTAGGAAAGTGGAGTTTTCAACATGAGTAATTTACTAGAACATTAACAACATTGGTGCAATCAGGTGCATTTCAAAACACAGCTGGATTCAGATCACAATCATGAACATTAACTGGTCCTGCTGGGGCTAAATTGGGTTCAGCAACTTTACTGGTTTCAACTGCATTTTCCCAGTAAACGCGCCGGCTATCATTTCCCTGAGAGTCAAGAGATGTTGACTGAATCACAGATGTTACATCAGAGCAGTCATCGGATCTCTCCTTCTGGACCAAACAGACATCTGGCCATCTACGCGCTCTGTGGTCTGCCGCTGGGACGCACGTACGTACACCAGAGAAGCCGCATGGACGTAATTTTCACTTTAGAAGTGAGGGGGACACAGGGGTGGAGGGGTATCTTTACAGTATGTTCTAATGGGAAACAGGCTTCAACACAAACGATTGTTTTCCGCTTGGTCCTAGAGCTCAACCAGTGTCAATTTAATATAGCGTAATATTGTTTTTGGATGGTAAAAAGTGCAGGGGTCAAAACTTGACTTTGGAAAAAGTAGGGGGGGGGACATGTCCCCCCTGTCCCCCCCAAAATTACGTCCATGAGAGAAGGGTTACGTCAGACGTTCCCGTTTATTTTTTTAACAAGAGTTTTCTAAGCATATAACTCCCCAAAATAAGATTTTCTTTTTATTGGGTAATTTTTTATTTGACTTTGTGTGAAAAGTGACGACACAAGCGGGACTTCCTAACGGCAGCGTTCAGTTGCCATAGTAACAGAAAAAAGCGCTGCGTGTGTGTTGCGGTTCCGTTGTGAGTCAGAACCAGAACGTGGCTTTTTGAGGATCAAACCAACCAAACCTGGTTCAACATGGATGCTGACTTATTAACCTACTCCCTGAACTTCGTAACCGGTCAAGGGGGGGCGTACAGCACCGAAAAAATCATCGCTCTGAAGACGTCCTTCGAGATTCTGAAGCAAAAGTACAAGTTCCAACGAGTTCTGCTCTGGGGCAAAATACTGGCGATGAAAAACATCTACTACATCGCCCAAGGGAGAGGACAAGACGAGCTGGCAGACAGGAAGTACCTGTACAGGTGAGGCAGACACTCGAGCTACTTGATGGTGCTCACTAAAAACTGCTGGGTTATTTAATCTACTCAACTGCTGGGTTATGAAATGTGTAACCCATTTTGGGTTATTTGAATGAGATTTGGGTTATTTTTGTGCAACATTTGGGTTATTTAATCTACTCAACTGCTGGGTTATGAAATGTGTAACCCATTTTGGGTTATTTGAATGAGATTTTGGTTATTTTAGTGCAACTTGACCCAGCACCTGGGTTGTTGTACTTGTTTGAACCGGTTTGAACCGGTTTGAACATCATTACATCTACAGCCATCCTTGACAACGCCAGGATCCATTTTGTCTTCGATCTGAGCGGGGGAAAAACATCGTTGTTGCGAGGTAAATCAACAATAAGAGGTATGTATTGTTTGTGTTTACTATCTATTTCTCGTCACGTCTGTGCCTGTTACCTGTTGGTATCTGAATGTTGTTGAGGCTCATTGGTTGGTTTGGGTAACAATGTAGCTAGCTAGCCATTTAGCGGTTGTCTTGAGCCTTTTCTAGTGTCCGTAGCTTATCTGTGTCGTACGTAAACTGCTATTCTGATTACTTTTTTACATTAAAAAATCCAGTGGAACTTCTGTACTTTGCATTTGAACTAATGAGTAGAGTCTGTGGCTATTGCTAATGAAACAGTCGTGGGGGGATGGGGAGGAGCGGGAAATCTCTCGGCAGCTACAGCTCCCGGCTAGGTAAAGGAGATGAAAAGAAAATTAAGACGCTTAAAGTATTTAAAATGTCTTAAATCGATCTATTAAATAGATCTAAATAGGGCAAATAGATCTAAAAATGTTACTTGTACTTTTACTATCATTCTGTTGTGGATAGTCAGCACAAATATTCAGATTATATATAATCTCTTTTAAATATTGGCTTCTAGGCCAGTGTACAATCATTAGCAAACCATTATATACATGTTTTAACATAGAAAGGTAAACATTTCAGGTGATGACCCCTTTAAAAAGTTCACCCAAAAACTGGAATCTACATGTGTTCAAATTTTTTCATCATGTATGTGTTTGCGTGCCAGAATCAAATTCTTGTGTTTCTTTTTAACAGAGTGTACCATATCTGACGAATGCGCATCACAGCTTAAAGAATGGTTAAGAAACAATTGCCAGCCCCTCAGTCAGGTACAGGACTAAATGCAAGACACTGCAGTCTACAGGGCCAAGTGCATTAGGGACAACAATTGGACCATCTACCAGATCCTCCAAGAATTCCCTCGCCTAATGAGCAAAGGCATGGTACGTTTAGAGAAATAATAATAACATGTGATGACGATGATTGTTTTTTATTAGTATGCCACATTGAATTTGTTTAAAAAAAGTTTCCTATTTTGTACATTGCACAGGACTTTCTTATCCTGCATGGGGATGCTTCATCAAAGTTGTTTGAAACTTGGCTACCCATTTATGCGGAGAAAATCCTGTACCTGTCAAGACGGGAGGGAAAGCTGATCTCGTCCCTGGATGGGTTAACACAAGGTAAAATATTCTTGCTTGCCATCTTTGCAATTGTCAATATGGTTTGTGTCAATGTAAGGTTTCCCCAACGAGGCTGGTCTCCCTCACTAGGCTATTTTAGTCCCAACTAGTGTCAAAAGCCTGCAACAAGACCCCTAGTCTAACTGATGGGCACATTACTCACCTGGGCTGTGATGGACTTTCTGTAATAGCGCATGTAACCACATCTGAGCCATTGTAGGGGAAACACTGTGCAGTGCTCGTCTCTTACCCCGGCTTTCCACAGCAGCCGTCAGCAGCACGTTACTGCAGCAGCACATCATAGCTGCTGATAGGAACCGCTGTGGTCAACAGAACCTTTTCCACTGGAGCCGTCAGCAGCGCGAGTCGGCCGCGTCTCAGGAGCAGCATGTCGCGGCCTTTACGCGCCGGTTCTATTTTCTACGCGCGACGCCTCTGAAACGGGTCAAGTTCGACATTTTTGGGGAAGGAAAGACAGGAAATCGGACGCGGAAATGGAGCGAAGCTCCCGAGATTTTCAGAATAAAGAACGTACTGCCTTCTGGTTGCTTTACTTTTAAAAAAAGTTACTAACTGTGCGGCCCCGTGAGAAGTTATCACCTAGCTAGCGGTCTCCTTTGTTTTTCAGGTCCGTACTGGCGATTATAAAACGGACAGAACATAAAACACAAACATTTTGGAGCCATGTTGTAGTTTTCTCCTGCTTGTTGTTGTGTTTACTGACGAAGTCACTCGTGTGACTTCGTGCTCGGTTGGTGACAGCTGCTCCCCTGCTCCTTCGCGTCTCGTGGGAAGGGCCAAGCAGCAGTTTACGCGAGCAAGACGTGCTGCTGCGGTAACGTGCTGCTGACGGCTCCCGTGGAAATCCGGGGTTACAGATATGTCTCCACCAATGTTTACTGGTCCTATCATTTTAATGTATACTGAACAAAAATATAAACGCGACACTTCTGTTTTTGCTCTCATTTTTCATGAGTTGAACTCAAACACCTAGAATTTTATCTACAAACACAAAATACCCATGACTTTCAAATATTGTTCTGAAATCTGTCCACCTGTGTGTTAGTGAGCACTTTTCCTTTAACAAGATAATCCCAATCCCAGTCTCAGGCACACCTGCACATTATTCATGATGTCTAGTTAGCCCCTTGATATGCCACACCTGTGAGGTGGGATGGATTATCTTGTTAAAGGAAAAGGGCTCACTAACACACGTAGACAGATTTCAGAACAATATTTGAGAGTCATGGGTATTTTGTGTATGTAGATAAGGTTTCAGATGTTTGAGTTCGGCTCATGAAAAATGGGAGCATAAACAAAAGTGTTGCATTTATATTTTTGTTCAGTGTAGTAATTGTCCCTGGCAATTTGTGCGTGCCATCCCTCTCCCTGCTTTCAGAGTGGTCGGAGGTGCACTGCAACCTCACCACCCCCTTCCTCCTTGTCTCACAGCAATCAGAGGTATGCTGCGTGTTGGTGCGCGCGTACCACATGCGCACATTTTGCAGTCTTTTAGCGGCTCTAGAGCCTGCAGGTACAGTCTGTGTCATTCTCTCCGGCTCCTGCAGGAGGGAGTCGGCTCCTATCGGTCACATCAACGAGCTGGCTCTGAGAGCCATTTTGTTCGCGACAGACATGTCACTATAACCATCCACAGGGTGGGAATTGGCTGCATGTAACTGTTACCATAGGTTTCATGTTATTTGGATACCAAATGACAAATCACATGTATGCCATTCCACATTATATTCTCACCTATATTGTCTTCAACAGATGCCATTGGTGAACTCAGCCTGAGGCAGTTGCCATCCTTGCTCCCTCCAACTGCTTACAAACTTGGCCGTGGCCACAGTGCTATAATGGTTCGCCACACCACTGAAGAATGTAACTTGGCCTTCATCCACCATAAACCTGTAAGTCTTCCAGTACATCTAAAGGCAAACTTTTATCTTTTCATTAACATATACCTGTTATTCTTTGGCTCATGAATGTGTGTGCGCAGACACGCACACACACACACACACACACACACACACACACACACACACACACACACACACACACACACACACACACACACACACACACACACACACACACACACATATCCAGATTTGTTATTCTATACCTACAAATATTGTCAAGTCATCTACAAGCTTGTGTTGGTCACTTTAAAAACATCTTATGCTTTTAAAACAAGGCTGCAGTGCCACTGAATGATCGCCTCGTTACCACACCATACTGACTCAGAAGTTAACATATTTATATGTTAACACTTTTGTGCTTTAATCCATTCAGACCTTGCTGTATGGTTTTGGTCCATTAGAAGTAGAATTATAAACATTTAAAGTTTCCTCTGTGTCAGAACCGCATTAGAATCCAGATTTTTCTCCGGATTAAACGGGATGAATATCGGTATCGGCCGATGTTAGTCATTTTTTTACATATCGATATCGGTTCGATAAATAAAACCGGGCCGATATTAACAACCGATATTTTTTCCATCTTGTCTCCATTTGTTTGCCTGTTTCAGAGGGTGAGGGGGGTGATGTGTGATTGTTAAGTCATGTGAACAGTGAATGAAATCATCTCAGAACTGTAAATGTGTGTGTGGTGTGTACATAACGTAAATTCCGCTTTAAAAATGTTCATTCTATACAAAATCTGATTTTAGAAGCATTAATGTCAGTATATCGGTATCAGCAAATATCGGTTATCGGCCATAACAGTGATATTAATATCGGATATTGGCATCGGCCCAAAATTTTTCATATCGGTGCATCGCTAGATTAAACGAACAGGACTCCCTCAGCAAACGTCACTTGGTTTGGCAAAACAAAAAATCTCACAAAAATGACTCTAAAAGCCTAAATTATATATGTGTAAAAAAAAATTTTGAACGAGTTTCTATTGTATTTCTCTAAACATTGGTTCCTGGGAGTCTTTAACCTGCATTTTGCTCTTTAAATATTTCTTGTGAGGACCAGGAAAATGCTTGTCATAATGTCTTTTTTTATTCTGCTGTACTAGTTAAATGATAAATAACCTTTATTTGATATAGCATCTTATAGAGCCCTGAACCCCCCAGGGCACTGTACAACACAGTCATTCACCCATTCACAAGCACATTCACACACTGGGTAGCCATAGCTGCCCTGGTGCAAGGGGGGTTAAGTGTCTTGCCCAAGGACACAATGACGGCGACAAACTGAGCGGGGCTTAAACACGCAACCTTTCGATTACAGGGCAAGCACTTAACTCCTGTGCCACTGTCACCCAGTTGACGTTGGTAGACATTTGTTCCTTACTCACGCATTCCTTCTCACCTGTTTGTTGTTATGCTTTCTTTCTGTTTTTTAGCCTGGAACCAACATGGTGGAATACCTCCACGAGGCCAAGGCCACAAGACCATTCCCCTATGTGCTGACGTTGGGAAATGAAACACAGCATGTGTCTCAGGCCTTTGTCATCATTGCTGGCCAGGCTGTGGAACATGACACACTGCTTCAGGCCGTCGATGCCTGCTTCAAGGCATTCTTTATTTTAGACAGTGAATACCCGAGGCAGTGTGAACACGTCTGGAAATTCCTGCAAACCACCGTCTATGAAATCCCAGGAGGGGAGTCGAAACTAGTAAAGTTTCTGCAGAGTAGAATACGTGCTAGCAAAAGAAGCAAATAGGTATTTGTAAAATGTACTCTTGACCATTTAAATGTTGTTTTTTAAGCACTGAGTTACATGTATTTCAGTGTACATTGTTGCAGTTCTTGATGTGAAGTGATTAGAACTTTTATATTGTTTACATTTATATGAATAAATTTCAAGGCAGTGCCTTGTAAAGATTTCAGTATTGTTGAAGTTTTATTGTATTGTATATGCTTTACGTGACCAAGTCTAGCATGTATGTTTTGATAGTTGAGTGTGGATAGGTGCAATTTTCTGTCTTCCAAAATGCACTGTATGTAATGAGTTAGAAATAATTTGGCATATTGACCAAACATTTGGAGTGATTACTGAACATTATGTTGTTTAAACAACCCATAGTTTTAGTAATTTGACCCAGCATTTAGGTAGAGTAAATAACACGTAAGTGTGGTTGAATTTACCCAGATTTGTGGCTATTTTGACCCAGAATTTGGGTGGAATATTTAACTCATCTGCTGGGTTAAAATGGAGGAACCCATCTTGAGTTAACTACTGCTGGGCTGGTGCAATGTTGCTCCAGCGGCTGGGTTAAAAAACAGCCCAAATTGGGTCATTTTTAACCCAACTGTTTTTAGTGTGATGTGTTCTGGCTGACCTGTGGTCTGTCACCTCCAGCTTTGACTGCATGAACTGGTTCCTCCTCCCCTCCATCACGGACTCCATGATCCAGCAGGTAGCTGCAAATGCAAGGGGTCCTTTCAGAGGGGAGCCGTCTTTTGTGTACCCAGCAAGGACCCACCGCAGTGATGGAGATAAAGGTGCAGGGGTATGTGTGATCATGCCACCAAGCATAACACAGATTTCACTTAAATTATCTATTGTTGAAGCTATTTACTTTATTATAGGCCTAAGTTATAGCCCAGTTTATTTTCTTTATTTGATGCCAAAGGTAATTTGTTTGTTTTGCATAATGCTTTTTATTTATTATTTTGGCTCATTAGTTTATTGTTTGTTGGTCAGGTGTGGGTGATTATTGGTATAAATAGGTCAAGGTGGGTGGAGCAGCCATGGCTGCCAGGGAACATGTTTTTTTTTTTTTTACCACACACAGAGACAGGGGCGTGGCCAGATCTTTTAAAATGGGGTGGCCCAGGTGAGGCACAACTTTGTGCATGGGTGGCACCAATGGTTATGCCTTTTTTGTTTTACCCCCAAGCCTTTTGCGGACAATGAAAAGCCCATTTAAAGGTAAATTAGTGTGTTAGCACCTGGGGTGGCCAATCAGATTCCAAGGGTGGCATGTGCTACCCCAGGCCACTCCCTGGACACGCCCCTGGACAGAGAGGAGGCAAAAATCTGTGCTCTTGCTGCTTGAGTGAATAAACCACCACCAAACTCAATTTTGGCATGGACATTGCTTTATTTGAAACTTTTTTTTACCCGTGCGTAAACCCTTGACATAGCCCAGTGGCCATTTGAAAGTGTTTGATTATTTTTTGTTTAAGTTTTATGGACAAATAGCCTCTACACAAGTAAAAAAAACATCCCCCTGCAAGTAAACCGTTTGTTTATTTGGAACTTGGACCTTTTTTGTTCGCCTGGATCATCTTTTTGAAAGCCAGGATCGCACACCTGGACGGTGGAGACGAGGACAAAGGCTGGGCCTAGGAGTGGAGGCTGTGTCTTTCCTTCAGCCGTGAAGGATACGAAGCTGGCTAAACTCCGCCATTTTCTTCTCCGTGTCTGGTTTGATGACTTCAATATGGTGACAAACATTTGTAGTCCTACACGTTTTTTCCACACAAAACCTAAAATAACTTTTGCCACCATTCAAAAATGAGCGCATTCTTGGCATCAAAATGTGTCTTCGTGGTGTGAAATCCATGGCACATGTCAAACAGGATTAGAAAATAGCTTTTATAGCACCATTGATTTGAATCTTTCACTTTTTCTTATTTCTGGGGACCCATGGCCCGGAAGTAGATGGGCGTGGCTTAGGCTCCCTATGTATAGTGACTACCAGTGAGTGCTACGTCTACATTAGTCTTTTAATGTGTGTCTAATTTCAAAGTAAAATGCAAGATGTTCTCCGAGTGAAAAAATGTTGATTTTATTTTATTTTGTTTACATTAAGGCTGCTAAAAACATGCCCATTGATTTTTGTTCTTTATGTTTGTGTCCACACAAGATGAGCTTATGCAAGCTTCAGAGCCTTTGTACTCCTTTGTAATGATTTTAAATTACATGCTATTTAATGAGCCATGAGACGTGGGATTCTATAGGAAATATGAAATCCACCTTATGGATCTGTTGGGTTATTTAAACCAGAAGATTGGATCTTTTTAATGCAGGGATTAGATAACAGCTTCATATTCACTCAGAGACAACAGAAGAGAGAGTCAAGTTTAAAAGTTTACAGATTTATTACTAGCTAATTAAACTAGACTAACTTTAACACTAAATGTATGGTGTAACTAAGGTGGATGAGACGGAGAATGGTGTAGTGTGGAATGTTGTTCAGAACCAGCAAATCCGAAGAAACGATTAGTTCTGATGGGAAGTGAAGGTGACGTCTTCGCGTTACGCTTTGGTTAGGAGATTCTTAAACACATTCGACGCCATTCTGTTGGCCTACGTACCCTTAGAGGAAGTCCCCGTTAGATCAGGAGGTGTAGAGGTCCAGCTTGACCTTTATGGAGCCGAAGCCCGTAGAAACAGCCACGGCAGCCGACCACCAGTCTGTGAGATACTTCCGGGTCACAACAGTTTTGTTGGCATCTAGCGATACCCAAACCTGGGTCGTGATGGTTCAGCTTTTATTCTGAAAGGAACCGTTGCTTGGTTGGGACAGCAACAGATTTAATCCAGCTTGTCGTTGGTTCTTTCGGCTGAAGAGGAAAGTTACGGATTGGCCACTCCGACAACTTCTCTAGAACGCTTTGAACTGGCGTTAGAGATGGCGTGGGCATAGTTTTATACTTCGGATGTTTTGGTTTACGGTCGAATGAAAAGATGACAGATTTACCAAACACCACCAAAACCACGCCTCCGTCAGATCTGGCAGATTCTGATTGGATCAGTGAAGCAATGTGTCATGTCTTAACGCTACGTGAGATCAGTCCTAGTGGAAACATTTAAAGTCATATTACTTATTATATTCTATAGGATTATAATAAAGTAATTAATATTTTGATTTCACCAATTGGTCACATCTTATTATTGACTAACACTTTATTAGATTAACTTTATTAAAATAGAGTTCTTTGATTTATTAAAAGGAGAGAGTCCTTTCTTCCTTCTTCTCTTGAGCTGGAAAGAAGCAGTTTATAACAAATGCATGAGACCTTGAGGCCGTATCTCATGCAGACTAGTCCTGTGTCAGAGGAGAGGGGGGAAACGACATGTGGAACAGTCATTTCATTCTGTTAAAAAAAGTCATAAATGGTCAAGGATTGGACTAACGTGTCCAAAAACGAAGCCAAAGTCTAAAGAAAGATCTTCAAAAAGCACATAAAAGTAAAACATGTTTGTTTTTCAATGATTAAAAAATCAGATTAGGTTTGAAATTATCAGTGCAATCTATCAAAATGAAACATTCTTGGTTGCAGTTGGTGGCGACTGAGGAGATGAGGCTGGCTGTGACGGTTAAGCAGATCGATGAAGAAGTGTCTGTGGTGCCTCGAGGAGCCTTCATCAAGACTGGTGATCTTGTTCAGCTCAATCGCAGCTTTGGCGGTAAATATGCTGTAAATCCTGCGGTGCAGATGTCTCGCTGTGCTGTGTTGAGATTAGCCGGTGCATAAAACTGACTCATGCGTGGATCAGTCAGATTTGTTTTGAGTGGCTAGATCAGACATACAAACCCATCGTGTTTGTTTGGCTGCATTCCACTGGTTAGCCGCCTCTGCACTTTGTGATTCAGCTTTGATTTATTTTTATTTTTCCTTCTTTAAGGTCTTTCTAAAGCAGAGGGAAAGTCGCTTGACAATTACATGCACTTCAGAGAACCAAAGAGCATAAAGAAGGAAGACGTCCAGAAGAGGGGAGATTGGTGCCCATCGTTTGACTTCCTGGATGTTCTTAGTGATGACGTCCCAAAAGGTGAAAGAAATAATCCAAATTTGATCTAATTGCCATAAAAAAGTTGTTATTCACCTGTGTGAAAGCCAAGGTAGGACTCATCCAAATGATAACGCGTTGAATAACCCTACTAGTAAAAGGTTAAAGTGAAATATTACAACTTAAAGCTGTTTGTTGGTAATACACGAGGCAGACTTTCTGGAAATTTCTCTCACATTCTTGGCATATTTTATACCTGATTGTGTTGGATTTTACCCAAAATGTACACAGGGTGTCCGCGGGTCCTTAAAAAGTCTTAAATTAGCTTTTCCAAATTTAAGGCCTTAAAAATCCTTAACAATGACAAATAATCCTTTAATACAGTTTCCAAAGGTCTTAAATTACTAAAGACCCAATAAACAAGATTCTTTTTTTGTGTGTGTGATGTTGCCGTAAGCGGAACCGTACACGTTCAGTTGGTTGTGAAAGGGGGCTGTTTTTAGCTGGTTAAGCTAGTGGGAGCTTGTGCCATGGGGAAGTTTAATGGTAACTGGATGGCTAATCCCACGTTCGCGACGTGGTTAGCACCGGTTCCAGGCAATAGCTGGAAATTATAGCTTAAAATTAATTTTAAAAATAGCTTAAATTAGGTCAAAGTGGTCTTAAAAAGTCTTAAATTTGGCTCCCTTAAACCTGCAGATACCCTGTTTACAGCTAAATTCAGCCTATTTGAGGGTAAGGGGAAAGTTTCCTTAAATTAAAAAATAAAAACTGGGTAGCAGTTATTTTATTTTACTATTTAACATTTGCTGCCAGTGTCTAGTAGGCTTTTAGTTCTGAAGTTCAAACCTTGTTGGCAGGCGTAGACATCGACAGTGTTACATGTAATGGAAAAATCAAACCCAGGAGGCAAACATTAAGCCATAAATACTATAAAACCAGTCATGCAAATGTATTTATGCACAATCATGTCAACAAGACAGTGTGGTTTGTAGCTGGATCCATTCCAGGCCAGACTGAGCACACACATTAAGGTCCCGAGTGTAAAAGGATGTGTGCACATCTCAAAAGTTAAATAAAAAAACAGAAAAAGTTCTGCAGCCACAAGAAAACATGTCGCAGATGGTCTGATTTAGGAGTCTCCACATGTGCGCTTGCTTATGTGTGTTCTTTGAGTCAGATGACAGCCGTGTTGTCACCACAGAGATGGGCACAGCTGCTCCCGCGCCGCGCCGAGGAAGATTTTCCCACTGGAAATCACAACGACTTAGAAGAAAACACCAAATAGTCAAAAAATAAAAATGCTTTCCTGGATTCCCCTTTTCCTTTAATCAACATTTATCCTGTAACAATCCCAAGCTCCTAATTTATACCTTTCTTCATCTTCCTGTAACAAGTTCTTACCAAAGGCCCGTGGCAATTTTACTCGGAGTTGCATCATGTTCTGAGACGAGTCCAACTCCAGTCTGTGTCGAACTCCCATAATCTCCACGTCGGCAGTCACGCCCAAACTTACTGAGAAACGGGTTCGACTGGACGACGTCAAAAGCACTGACAGGAGATTTATTAGTGTCCTTTGGCGGTTTCCAGCATGAGAAAGTTGTGATATTACCAAATATTACTGCATATATGTACGGCAACATTCCAAGGCAAAATCCAGGGATTTTCCTCTTTGAGGGATTATGTATGATGAAAGTGATCGTCTTACCCTGTTCTGTGACTTAATGCAGGCAAAACTCCATTTTATTTTCAGCTAGACCCGCCCCATCACATAGAGTCCCATGCAATTTGAGCCGAGCACCGCTCAGACTTTGTCAATGGCATTAAGACATGTAGGGATGTCAATCACTGCTTGATTGCAGAAGTACCTAGACTTATAGAGAAGTATTTCAAATATATTTATGAATAATCAGCATAACATGAGAATAGTAATAGAAATCCATGTGTTTTACTTCTATTTCTCAGCTAGAGGTGCATGGAAGTAAGTAGGGAGGGGAGCTTAATGTACATTTTTCCACCTCTAGATGGTGGTCTCGGACAAAAAAAGTCAGGCTGAGCAATTTCCTGCTCCTCTGCCCTACTGGTTGAAAGCGGAATTACAACTGTTGTAAACAACCCTGCTACAACCTGCTGTCGCTAGCACTACAAACGAGCTAACATCCGCCAACTAATACTAAAATAAACCACAAAGTAAATAAATCCACACTGTTGGATAAAACTTGTTACTT